GGGGCGCCCGCCCCAGGCGAGACACTCGTACGCGTGGGGCGTGCGGAGGGGCAGGGGGTGAGAGCGGCCGCTGCGGGGGTGCTGGCAGCCCCATGGCCAACGCGGTCCCCAGACGTGACCTGGCGTGCGTGGGGTGCAGTGATGAATTACGGGAGCTCCGCACCCTGGGGGTGAACCAGCAGCAGCAGCCCAAGCTGGTGTGGTATCGTCAGTATTCCTGCTCATCCAGGGATCTTTTGTTGGTTTTGTTTTATTTTTAAGCTGACATTTGATGGGTTTACTACTTCTCTAATGGCAATTACTGAGACGATAGGGACTGCTCTTCTGCCACATAGCCATGGTCGCGTGTTTTTCACGTAACTGTACTTACAGTTTCGTAGTTGGGAGATGCTGACAATTAAATTTGCAGATCAAGAATTTTTTTAAACAATCCGAATTAATCTGGAACTCAAGCTGCTGCTATTCCCTAAGTGTTGTCTTCAAGCGGTAAGTACTAGGGTTAGCACGTGGTCAGCGAGCTTCATTTGCTCAGCCCATCTAATGAGGCAATAAAGAGACGCACAAGACAAAGATAAGAGGGGGGGAAAGAGGCAAAAAGAAAGAGAAAGAAATGAGGAATATAAAGAAAAAAATACCGAGCCCCAACTGGCATCATCCACCGAGTGATCCAAGAGAGATCCCGGAGTTTGCAGGACTGCTCAGTAATGCCAAGGGCAGGTCCAAATCTTCCACCCCCCGGAGCTCCTCCAGTGAGTAACCGAGAGGCGAGCGAGTCCTCCCGACTCAGCAGCCGCCTCAGGGCGCCAGGTCTGCGGGATCCCTGAGGAACACCGAGAGCCCAGCGCTCTCCCTCTCGGGACGACACGGCGATGCTCGGCTGCATCCCACCCCGCAGCAGCCTGGGTCCTTCCTGCTGCCTTTCCCGGGCCCTGGCAGCATCTTTGTCCCTGCCGAGGTGGCAGCATCGAAACACAGCCCTGGGCTGGGGGGCAGCCGGGGGGGCTGCCCAGGCCACGGCAGCCGAGGAGGAAAGGCCCCCCCCCGGCGTTATGTGATGCTGCGACAGGCGACCAGGCGTCAAAGACACCCCAAAATGCAAAAGGAAGGGGTAATGCCAAACGATTCGCACCGCTTGCCAAAGCAGGAGTTGCACGTTTTGCAAAGCGCAGCGCGTGGCGTCGCAACGGCGAGTGCTTGACAAACGCGGCCGTCGGGGAGGGATCTACCGCCAACTAAGTAAAAACCAAACCCGCCAGAGATCCAGCACGGCGCCTGTCGCTGGAAATCAGCCGAGGAGTTTAGACATTTGAGTTACTCCAAACAAATTATCTCCTGCCATTCGGGAACAAAACACCGTGCACGCAACTGCTGCTGGTGCTTTAGAAATGATGCCGCCGGCCGCGAGAACGCTGAGGTTCCTCCTCTGCAAATCCGTTGCACCCACGTGCAAACACACGCACCGCGCTTCGGCCGATCCGTGCCTTTGGCCAGACCCACGCTCATGTCTAAACCTAAACACGTGCCTAAGTGTTGGGTGCACAGGAGCCCGCCCCTTTTTGCAGGTTGTGTTGGAAAAACAACAGCCCAAACAAGGCGCTGGAGGCGGGTGCCTTCCTGCCAGCCGTGCGCCGTACGGAATCGCCTCTTGAACTTCCAAAAAATCAAAGCTACTTCAGTTGTTTTGCGTTTTCCATCACCCAACTCCCCTGGTGCCAACATGCAACATGTTTCCCAAACCAAAAGCCCCCTTCTTCCTGAGCTTAAGCCTGATATTGTTACAATACAGCCCGCACCTGAAAACCTTTATTAATACTACTAACTAATGATTATGCTGGAGCAATCAGGGCAGATAGAGCGGAAGCTTACCTGGAATAGCAGGACAGACTGGTGCTAATGACGGTGTTAAACACCGCCACGGGGACGTAGCAGTGGTGGAAAGTGCTGTTGACCCATTCCGCTGGGAAGATGTACGCCGAGTACGCCAGCGCAGACCCTGGAAACACAGGCAGGGCCCGGTGAGCGCCAGCCCCCGCCGGGACCCTCGGCATCCTCCTGGGGCGCAGCTGTGAACCTTGGCGTCGGCCGTGGTGCTCCCGGGAAAGGGAGATGGGAATGAAGGCAGACGAGGAGCTAAAGGGCGAGGGGGAGCACGGGGCAGGCGCCCCGGTAGCCAGCTCCTGCAGACACCTTCCGGAGGCGCGTTGTGCCGTGAGAAGACCCCGGGGACCCTGCTGCCTGCTCGCCCTGGCCTCGCCCCCCCCCCAGCGAGCTGCCACCGACCGCGTTTGTCTTTAATGTGTTGGGTCTTTTTTTCTTATTCTATTTAGTGCAAATACCGGAGACTGTCACACAGCCAGGCCCAGGGCTGCCCGGTACAAACCCCAGCCCCAAATTATTATTTGTGGTGGTGTCAGAGATGCTTCGCGGTCCCCCCCAAGCGCCAGGCTGCAGGGAAGGAGGAGGAGAAACTGCACACAAGCGGCCGCCGTTTCTGCCTCTCCCGTGGATCCCAGCCTGGGCAGCCGCGGGTCAGCCCCGTCCCCGGTGCCTCCCCATGCTTCAGCTCCTGCTGCCCCGGGGAAGCGCTGGGGACTGCCCCCCGCCGAAGCCCCTGCAGACCTGCCCGTCCTTACCCAAGCTGTACATGCTGAGGGCCGCGTAATCGAAGAAGTAGCAGATGTGCCGGGCGCGGGTGGACATGGTGCTGAAGGTGTGGGCGCAGCTGGAGGCGAGGGGGTAGATGCAGCAGGTCAGCAGGTAGGCGAGGAGGGGCCAGGCGTGGGGGTCCTCCCGGCCCCCCGGCCCCTGCAGCCGCCCCACCAGGGTCCACACGAAGTACCTGTGGGGTGGGGGAAGGTGAGCATCGCACCCGTGGGTGCCCCCCCAACCCTGCTCCCCCAGCCTTGCTCCACCCACCGCCTCCTCCCACGGATGCCGGGGACCCAGAGCGTGGCACCTACCAGGTAGGCACAAAATGCGTCCAGATATTCAGGGTCTCATTCGTCATTTGGAAGACGCTGAGGAGGCAGTCTGCTGCCGAGCTGCTGGGGGGGCGATACCCGAAGAGGATCCCCTGCTCCTGGTACCCCTGCAAGGCACCGGCGGCAGTCGGAGAAGGAAGGACTAATTGGAGGAGGAGGAAGGAAGGAAGGCTGCCAAGGGGAGGGTGCCCATGATTCGGGGCCCAGGGGCTTGCTGTGAGGACCATGGAGCTGTGTCCCCCCGTGGGAGGTGGTCCCCGGGGGGGATGGCCACCCCAGCACGCTGCTCCCGCCTGTCCCCTCCCCAAATCCCACCGAGCCTCGGGCTTGGGGAAGAAAAGCTCCTCTCTGACCTTAGGCACTTGGTGGATGCTGAGCAGCCGGGGTAACTTGAGGCTCAGCATCGTGCGGGTCGGGGCTCCGGCTCCGAGGGATGTTTTCGGCTCGGCTTCCCTGGGCACAAGCCCCGGCGCTGCCTCACGCCCCGCCCGGCCGCATCTCACACCCCGCCGGGGAAGCGATGGGACGGGGACGGGGCTGCCCCGTGGCGGAGGAAGCGATGCTCAGGACGGGTGGCCTGGGGGAGAGGAGCGTTTGTGGGGATGTGGCACTGTGTCCCCACGCGGGGTCCCGAACCCACGCAAGGGGAGATGGCACCCATCCCTGCAGGGGATGCTGGGATCCTCCCTCCTGCCCGTACCCAAAAGGGGCAGGGGGAGAAGGAGGGCACGTCCCTGTGCCTGCCACCCAGAGGGACTGAAACCCCGTTATCGCCCCAAGGGGTGGTGCGGGAACAGCACCCACATCCCCCAAGCACCTCAAGAGAGCCCTGGGCACAGGCTGGGGGGCTGCAGGGTGCAGGCAGGTCCCCTCGGGAAAGCGAGGAGGGCGCAGGGTCCCAGGCAGTGCCTGG